GAAACCCTTTCTCAAAATAAAAAAATTAAATAAAGTAAAATAAAAAAGTCTGGGAATGTGCCTCAGTGGTTAAAAACTCTTGGGTTCAATTCCTGGTATGGAAAAAAAAAAAAGAAACAAAGAGACAGAGTGGGGAGGGGAAGGGAAGGAGAGAGAAAAGAACTCTGTCATTTTTCCTGCTTTCCATCACTCACTTCAATTAAAATTAAGACAGTGTCCTATTATGCAAAGATATGTGTCTATAGAAGGGTACCTAATCTACTGTGTTGCACTGTATTGCAGTACAAGATTGTCTGTTTTTTATAAGGGATTATACAGGACATGTTACCAAATTGGAATCATACATGTTTGGTGCTTGCAAAAGTCTCAGAAGTCTTTCCTGTGACTTGTGCTCGTGAAGGAAGATGAGTCCCCTAAGATCACATGGATGATGAGTACTGGGGAAGTATCCAAATTACAAGTTCAATGAGCTTTTTACTTTAAAGCCTATCACTCTTTTCAAATTATAAAATTTGATGCAGTGATATCTTTTTATTGTGATGCTTGTTTTCTCTTAGTCCTTTTAAAAGGGTTCTATCCAATCATTGGTGCTGAAGTAGATATCAAGAAGTTTACTTTTCATTTTTGTCTGGGGGTTTATATTTAAGTTACTCTATTTATGTTTTTAATTCATTTCGGGTAAAATTTTCTGAGTTGTGTGAGATGGGGAGACATTTTCATTCTTTGAAGTGCTTTCCAGTTTCCCAGCACATACCAAACAGACTCCCATTTCCACATTATGTTTTCTTGGTGACCTTTTGAAGATTATTTGCAAATATTGTTTTCTGGAGTTTTGAATTTGTTGCCCTGGCCTATGTGTCAGCTTTTATACCTTTGTATCATAGTTGAATATCAGGAATTGTGTGTGATGCCTCCAGCTTAATTCTTCTTTGTTATGATGGCCTGAGTTACTTGGGACACTTTGTGGCTCCAAAGGAAATATAAGATTTTAATTCTACTTCTGTTATAAATCACATTGCAACATAAATGAATGTGTAGGATTTTATCTAACTGAAATAGTTCAGAGAGAAAGACAATTACTGTCTGATCGTATCTCTTAACTCTAGAATCACAGACACAGACTAGAACATTGGCCACCAGGACCTGGGGAGTAGGAAAGTGAGGAGACGGTCAAAGGGCACAACCTATCAGTGAAGATGAGTAAGTCCAGTGGATCCGGTCATGATACACTGTGCAAACATACAACATACAACATGATGGCTGCAGATAACAATATCATATTGAATACTTATAATATGCTCATATAGATTCTAAAAATTCTCATCATAGAAATGATGCCAAAAATATGTGAACCTGAAAAAAACATTGTATGAAAGTAGATGACAAAAATGTTAACATTTAGCAAAATTCCAAATGACACTACAACTTGGTTTATATTGCTTCCTTATCGAACTTGAGTTTATTTATTTTCTTACAATGCTCAACTTTTATAAGCTAGTTAATTATTATTCTCTCTCTTGGAAGAAAAACATTCACCCTTTTTTAGGTCCATTTTCTTTCCAGGCTTTGGGTCTTTATATTTTTTTTATGTAAGATTGAAAATGCTTTCTATTTTCAGAGGTTAAGATGATAGGTTGGGAGATCATTAAAAGACTTTCCTAAGCTTGCCGAGCTACCAGGAATTGGGATCACARTTAGAACCTAGACAACATTTCAGTAATTCAGTTCTTCCTGTGCCAGACTTGTCTGCCTTCAGCTGGACTTTCTGATAAGTTGTGGTTTTCTTGTTTCAGTTGAGCACCAGATCACAAAGAGTATCMACACCCTACATCTGTGGGCCAGCTTCTTTGCAGTTTGTGTGCCAGAGTATGACCAGATGCCTCAGTATCCTGCAAGTTAGCCCAGGATAATTTACATGGTGATAACAGGATCCCAAAAGGGAGAAAGATTACAGAAAACCTCTTGAGACCTAGACTAGGAATCTTCATGGGTCTGCATACTTCAACCTTTTCATAAAAACAAATCACCTAACTGAATTCACAATGTGAAATTAAAAAAAAAAACTCTCTAGAAATCATTAAGTAACTCTGGTTTTGACATTATAACACATAGATTATTTGATCTGTGATTAATTCATTTTCTATTCTCAAATGAGAACTTTAATGCTAAATAGAATATGATCTTATTATATTATACAGAGAAGTCAGAAAAATAACTGAAATAGTGTGTGTTTCAGTGGAGTATCCTCAAGCTTTCATCTGATTTATTTATTCACCATTACCAAGACCTAAAAGATTTTTTGTACAAATGGAGGCAGGAAACACTAATTAACAAATATTTATTTTGAAATGCTTATCTCTTCAGTCTTTCACAAAATTTTGATGATGAAGTTATGCAAATATAAGTTCCCCTATAGAGGGGATATTGAGACTAATGGCCTTATTCCTGTCCTCCTGAATAAGACTGCATTTTGTACAATCTGTCCTAACTCTATCTGGAATTTTTCCTTTTTTTTTTTTTGATACTAGGAATTGAACCGAGGGGTACTTAGTCACTAAGCCACTTTTTATATTTTATTTTGAGACAGGAACTCTCAAAGTTGATTGGGATATTGATAAATTTCTGAAGCTGGCTTTGAACTTGGTATCCTCCTGCCTTAGCCTCCTGAGTCACTGGGATTACAGGCATGTACTACCATGCCCACCCAATTCTACATAGAAGTTAGAGTTCTCCCCTTTCTTCTTTACTGGAATCTGGATCTCAACAGGTGACAGAAGAATGAGTTCCCCTCTTTCATTCTGTAGTCACATGAATTCCTCATTATAGCTTTGGTCTCTATGGGTTTAAAGGCTAAAATCAATGTATCTTCAACAAGTTTTGTGACAACCTGATGCTCCAGACACGCCCAAGGCACCTCCCTCCACCATCCTCACTTAGTCTCTCTCAGGTCCTCTACCTCACAGGGCTCTCTGTGTGAAAGCTCTGATACACTGATTATGCTGTGAGTGCTCTCCACTTGGTCCTCACCTCAAACTGGGAGATCATTTTCTTAAATGTTTATTATTTCTATGACTCACTTAAATATCTAAATTTTCAATTATTTCAAAATTATCTGGGAAGATTAGAATAGAAAACTAGAGAATAGACTACCATTAACCTATTTTCAGTYAACCCAAGAAGTGAGGTAATTCACTCTGACCATTTATTAACACATTTTCCGATATTTTATATAAATATGAGCTTAGTTAGTCCTAGATTTATTTGTATGGACAAATGATAACACAGTAGAGAAAGTTCACAGTAAGTATTATGGCTATAACCAAGTGTTTATAGTTTATTGTACAAAAAAAAAAATTGTAATCTAAGATATTTGTACTCGAGTTTGAGCACCAAAATCATTCATTGGAGAAAAGATAGCCTCTACAACAAATTAGGTTGGGAAAACTAAAAATCAATATGTAACAATTTGAAATTAAATCCCAAAATCTCACCCTGCACAAAAGTCAACTGTAAGTGAATCAAAGAACAGACACACTGTGCCTAACAGAAGAGAAAGTTGAGCCAAATCTTCACCTTGTCAGCTTAGGATCTGACTTCCTTACGACTCCTAAACTGCAAGTAAAAACAAGAATCAATAAATGGGATAGATTCAAACTAAAAACCTTCTTCTCAGCAAAGGAAACAATCATTAATGTGGAGACAAAGCCTATAGAATGGGAGAAAATCTTTTTCATATATATGTCACAGCATTAATTTCCAGGATATTTAAAGAACTCAAAAAACTTAACACCAAAGAAAACAGTAAATAACCCAATCACAGAATGGGCTAACTGAACAGACATCTCACAGAAGAATTAAAATTGATTAACATTTSTTTGTTTTAACTTTTTCCTCTGGTTTAAGGCTTGATAGGTAATCAACAGAATACTGGGTCAATGGTCCAAATGGCGATTTTTTTTCAAAACATTTGAAAATCATATACTTAAAAAATGAGTACTGTTTAATGAAATATTTTCATTTCGTTTTTGACTTTTACAACTTCAGGTTATGSATTTGGAGGATTTATGTTCTCTCAATGCCTTAACATTAAACATTAGTTTGGTCTTCATGTTCAGCATCCACACTATTACAAACTGCCTCAGTTATATGAGAATGTCCTCTGGAAGATACTTGGAAGAAACCTGTCAAGAAAACTAACCTCTTGAATRTTTTTGATGATTAGAGAAATTCATATGGTTAGAGAACTATAACACTACCTCAGGAAGGAGAAAACAGGAGTAAAGAAACATATACTTCTGAGAGGGGTACATAGCTTAACGTTGGGAACACATGCACCCAATTAAGACAATTCTGGGTATAAATACGAGCTGTGATGTTCAGCAGCTCTGTGCTCTTAGGCTTGGTCTTCAGCTTCTTAGTGTTTCAGGTTCTACAGCTATAACAAGATGATCATAAACCACCTTCTTTATAAGGTTGAAGTAAGAATTGAAATGGTTAGATACAGGACTTAATAGTAACTGCAGTGTGTGTGTGTGTGTGTGTGTGTGTGTGTGCGCGCGCGCGCGTGCTCTATGTGTGCTTATGGAGGCAGAGGGGAAAGCTTATTGATATTCATGTAAATATTATCATGCTACTTGATACATAAAAAGTTTTCATTAATTTATGAAAGAACACTGGAAATTTTTTCATAAAGGCTGTGTAYTAAACATAGGACTGTTTTTGTGTGTACCTTCTTCACACATTCAGACAGCCTGACGAGAATCCAGTAGTAATAATTCTAAATTTTTTCATCCTCCTGTTTTATAAGACACTGGCCCTACATTACAGAGTAAAAAAAATGGAAGCTCCAACTTCAAAATCAGATTCTGACTCAAATCCGAGTGCTAACTCACAAATTAAATCCTAAAATTCCAGCTAATAAGCAATAAAACTCCACAGGCCTTCTAATACTTAATTGATGCATTGTTTATTTCTCTTAGTGAAATTATCACTAAGTTCTTTTTCCCCCTCATTATGATATGCAGGCTTTCCCCATTGTGGACATGGAAATAGGAAATCGCACCATCCTGAATGAATTCATCTTGTTGGGCATCTCAGCAGATCCCCAGTGGCAGCTGATTCTGTTTGTAATATTTCTGGTGATCTATTTGCTAACCTTGTCAGGGAACATGACCCTGGTTTTCTTAATCAAGATTGATTCCCGCCTGCATACACCTATGTACTATTTGATTGGCAGTCTATCTTTTTTGGATTTCTGGTACACCTCTGTATATACCCCTAAAATCTTGGCAATCTGTGTCTCCGAAGACAAGCGCATTTCCTTGGCTGGATGTGGGGCTCAGTTTTTCTTCTCCTGCTTGGCAGCCTACACTGAGTGCTATCTCYTRGCAGCCATGTCATATGACCGCCATGCAGCAATTTGTAACCCACTSCTTTATTCAGGCACCATGTCTGCTTCTGTTTGCATTGGCCTTGTTGCTGGWTCCYACATAGGRGGCTTTCTGAATGCYATAGCCCACACTGCYAACACCTTCCGCCTGAGTTTCTGTGGTAACAATGTCATYGACCACTTTKTATGTGATGTTCTACCATTGGTAAAAATGTCCTGCACAGACACTMGGGTCTATGTCATAATCCTTTCCAGTATGGTTGGCTTCACTGTCCTCTCCTGCCTTCTKGCCATCCTCATCTCTTACTTCAACATCCTCCTGGCCATCCTGAGGATCCGTTCAGCCTCAGGAAGGCGCAAGGCATTCTCTACCTGTGCTTCCCACCTGGTCTCTGTCATGCTCTTCTATGGATCCTTGCTCTTTGTATACTCGAGGCCCAGTTCCAGCTACTCCCTGGAGAGAGACAAAGTGGCTGCCCTCTTCTACACCATCATCAACCCATTTCTCAACCCTCTCATCTACAGCATCAGAAACAAAGACGTCAAAGAGGCCTTTAGGAAAGCAATACTGTCCATAGGACCACAAGCTTGAGGTTTATTTTATGCCTTTTTTGCAGTTTGCAAATTATTGTTTTTGTAGACATGTTTGTATGAGTGTCTGCAGTTCAATTAAACTTCATAATTTATACTTGTAAGAATGAAATATTGGTCAAAACACACTTTTATTTTCAGGAGTGCTGATTCTTTCTTTCTCTTTCTGGCCATAAAGTGAACAGTTCTGCTCCAGYAAATCCTTCTGCCATGATGTTACCACAGGCCCAAAGCAACATTGCCAGTCAACCATGGAATAAAATATCCAAAACTTGAGCCAAAATAATCCTTTATTTGTTATTAGTTAATTTTATCAGGAATTTGTTATAGCRATGGAAGCTGACAACCACATTGATAAAGTGGAAGGGATTTCAAGTTCATATAATTATTAATTCTTTTTCAATGTGTCCATACCAAGATACTGGATATAAATAGATCAGTTTTCCTTGGAGAAGACTATCCGTTTTCTAGTACATTTTATGGATTTCAGTCTTATGAATATTCACAGGAAAGTGATACGTTTCTAGTTTCCATGTAAAATGATGATAATCCATTCTTGGATATGCTCACACAACACAGCGGAGCACACCTTCACTATGACTTCTCTGAAACCTACTTATACACATGCACAGATATGCTTGAGGAGTTGGGCGCTGAATTTTTAGACCCAGGAGATCAAGATAACATAAGTGTATGCCAGCCAGCTAACACATAATCCTAGCTAAGGTACAAAATTTGTTTTTCAAACTAAAAATAAATTTTAATTCAAAATTATTGGAATTTATATTTTTTGTGTTTAGAAATAAACTTCTTTTTTCTGGACCTTTTCCCATCATTTCCCTTTGCATGCATAGATAGTTTCCAAATAATGAAATAAAATGCATATTTAAGCAATATACTACACAAATATGTGTACTTCCCTCCAGGAAAAAAAAGATCTTTCGGATAGTAGGGTTAACCTACAGAATAGCCTTTTAATACATGAAGGAATCAAGTAAGAATGAATTATCATATACATCCATGATACATTAAAAAATGCCAATTACAACTGAAAAAAAATAAACTTTGAACAAGGGTAGAAAATGTAATTTCAAGAAACGTAGAAATATTAGGCACAGTAGCACAAGCCTGTAATCGCAGAGGCTAAGGAAGCTGAGAAGGAAAGATTATGAGTTCAAAGTCAACCTCAGAAGAAAGATGCTAAGCAACTCACAGAGACCCTGTCTCTGAATATAATACAAAATCGGGCTCTGGATATGGCTCAGWGGTCAAKTGCCCCTGAATTCAATCCCTAATATACCCCCTGCCCCAAAAAAGAATGAAAGAAATAAAAAAAATGCAGAGAACTTCTGACTATGTCTAGCTTAAGCCAATGAAGGCCTTCTAGATGTTAAATTATGGTGATCTTTATAGTCAATGTCAAGATATGTTCCTCTCTAAGGCTCATGATTTTTTTCTAAAATGTACATTCTGATTTATATTTTAAAATTTCAAGGTTTCTCATGCAACTCTTGTTTAAAGATCAAGCAATTTTAGGCATGTGAAATATTTCAAATATCTATATTTAAAGACTATTTAATTGTGCTTCATATATATGTGTATATTTGTGTGTGACACACACATATATATTAAATATGATATCAAATATTTGAGCAGGTTAAAATATTCCAACACTAGAGTGGAGGGAAATGAAAGCTCCTAGGGAATGAGACCACAACAAATAATGTTACATACTTTCAGGAATAAGGTGTAATGAATCCCACTCTTGTGTATAATTATAATACACCAATAAAAAATCTCCATCATTTACCTAAAGTATAAAACTGAAAGATATCTAAATGTTCCTATGAATTTTTATTATCATTGTTTCATTATGCTTCTTCATTCTACTACTTCAGAATGTCTTAAGATTAAAAAAAATGTTTCTTTTCTTGATGTTTCCTGATTGTTTCTTGCTTTTATAAGATGATTTAATTTTTTTCTTACCATGGATTTAATCTAAATATAAAATGTTCTGTTTTGGTGTCCAGTAGTGAGATTAGTATTCTCTTTGTGAATATTCACATTTTCACAATGCAATGAGAATATTGTGAAGATATTTCAAAGATATCCTTTCTTTAGTACTTATCACATCTTAGTAGGAAATGGCTGTTAGAATGGATGCTTATATATAAACTGGCACAATTTGTCCTAGGAGGCAAATACAAACCCTTATTTGAATCTCCAGCCTATGATGATTAACTTCACAGATTGCAAGGGATTGGATCCTTAGATAAAGGGCATCAAACTTGGCCAAGGTGTATGTATCCATCCTCCTCCAAGACTTTACATGAATGGCTTGGAGCCATATTCCCAGGTATTACAGATTACCTAGGGATGTGACAGGTAATCTTGATTGTCAACTTGTTTGGGTTGAGAGATGACTAGGAAATGAGGAAAGCCCACTTCTCAGTGTATCTGTGAGAGTGTTTACAGAGATGATTGGCATGTTGTTCAGCAAACTGAATTAGGAAGGCCTGCCCTGAATGCRGGGAAACCATCCAATAAGGTGAGGATCCAGATGGAACCAAAAGTGGAAGAAGGAAGAAGTCCACAAGTCTACAAGTGTGTACAACCTGGATTGTTCTTGAGCAGTTGTTTTTGTTTTTGGCTACATCCTTATCCCTGAGCATTAAACTGCATATTCTTCACCTTTGGATTGTGAATGGACAGCTTTCAACTTCGGACTGGGGCTGCATCATGGGTCCCTCTTGTTCTGATCTTTGAAATTCTTGGACTGAGAAGATCCTGATTTCTCATCAACTGGGCTAAAGAAAACAATGTGAAATATTATTCTGGCTTGAGTGCATGCTTCAGTGGTTCCCAATATATAGCAGATCATTATTTACCCAAAAGCAAAAATCATATTGGGTAGAGATCAAAATAAAACAGAACCAATTTAACGTTCTTCCCTTCACTTTTGGCACAGGAATTATTATTGATTAAATGTTCAAGTGCAATAGAAGTTCCCTAAATTTCTCCTTGTAAACATTCTCTGTTAATGCAGCAAAGAAAATGCAATACCACATCCTTGAGAGAAATATAGAGGTGAATGTGTTCATTAAAGTCTTGAACACTGCAAAGTTCAGGGTCTCAGGTGTTGCCTTCTACTCATCTCTATTGGGTGGAAGGATGAATTGAGGCTCCTCACTATGGAAGTTATGATTGAACATTTTTTATAGTTAGACAGGTCCAAGCCAGCTGCAGAAACAGTATGTTTTTTTTTTCTTGGAAAATAAAATGGAGAAAATAAAATGGAGGCTGAAGAAGAAATAAATATTTATCTTCAAAGATGACAACTATGAGAGGTTCTCACTACCATTCAACCATTGAACCTTGGAGGGATACGCAAAGAACTTTGATGTCAGTTTGTTTGCAGAAACTGAGACTGAGTCAGGCTGAGATTCTCATACTGTATTGAATCTTAAAAGTCATATACTATCCCAGAAAAAATCCTAAGTTAAATATATATATATATATATATATATATATATATATATATATATATATATTTGCATTTACTGGGGGGTTGCCACTACTCAGATATATGAGTTGACATGCACTGTGAATGTAAGTCAGCATATTTCCCCACACATCCTTGCTGATGACCAAGGGACCCTTGTTCATCATGACCATAGCAGTTGACATCAAATCTATATCTGTATCTATACCATTTTCTTCCCCTCATCTGGCCTGATTTAGGTGCTTCTATTGGTTAGGTCCAAATGCTAAAGGCAGAAACCAGTGCTGTGTCTGTAATATGCCATCACTTTCTGGGAGGATTTGTGGATCACTTGTGTAGCATCAAGATGGGATTAAACAACTTCTTGCTCAACCTTGCAGAGCAATGCCATGCTTTCTAAARTAATTACCTTTTATAAGACTTATTTAGTTTTCCCATTTTTCCTGCCAACATATCTAGTTATTGACTTACATAATCCCTTAAGCATCATTTGTTAGTGTGTCCACTGATTTATCCTACTTTTAATGCATTCTCTATGCAACTGTTCTGATAATCCTCCAAACATTTTATCTAATGCAATCACACTTGTCTTTCTTAAATGCATTATGGTCCACTATTGCATTTATGATTAGAACAGGAATGCCTATAGATAAGTTTAATATGAGATGCCATTCTAATTGAAACTATCATAGGGAATATGAAGAGTCACAAGTGTGTTCCCATAACTATACGTTTACACTCAGTGTCAAGAGTCTCCTGGGACGGCACTTGACTTGGGGGAAAAGGGAATTTAATTATGTAGACTTTCCACAAGAGCATGGGTGCAGAGGAGTTTTCTAGAATGTTTAAGTCATTAAGGATGCTTTGAATTGGAATCTTCAAGGACTTATATCCAAGTATGGAAAGAAAGGGATGAAAAATACTGTGACAGACAAAATGTTTCTTTGACTTTCTATGCACTCTGTAAGTCTCCTGTGCATGGTGACTTAGATTGTTTCACCGTCAATACAAGATTAAAGCCCATCTCCTACTTCCAGTTATCTAGTGTTCATCTACCCAAGCAAGCTTAGAATGGAGGAAAACTAATATAAAGGAAGAACCCCACAGAGCACTCCAGGATTGCTAAGGACCACACATAAAAAGAGGAAACTTGGAGATGCTCAGAGAAAGCTTGTGAGGGACCAGGGCCAGAAGACATTTCTGGAAAAGACAGAAACAAGGTCCAAGGATTGTCWTCTTGACTATTCTTTTACTTATGAGTGATTCCTCCATAATGGGACAGAYCCAATGAAATCAGTCTGGAGAGATGAAAGCTGGGTTATTCCTACTTCTGTCAGTACAAACTGACTCAGAGAAAGAATACATTTTGTTGTGGTTTCATTGTGATTGTATTTTAAATGACCCAGCCATCACCCCTATCTCAGACCAATGTGGCAACTTGGTTCAAGTTCCTGTGTAGGATCATAAATTACAGCCTTCTTTGGACATTTCTTTAGCTA